CAGGAAGCAGATGCAAAATACCTGTGCAATAGCTGAAACTACAGATATTAAGGTGTACTTTTCATAGAGGACTGGACTGATTGGTTTACCCAAAGCTATCTTTCTAAGAGAAGAGACAACATCTGCTAAGGATTGGGTTTATAAGATACCAAATACCACTGAAGCACTTACTTGAGTTTTACAGTATATGATTTACACAGCCAGACGGCAGCGCTCCAGCAGCCCATCAGAGCACATCCACTTTCACACACGACACACTTCACTTGCCAAGCAGACTGTCTACTCTATGTTTCTGCGGACTGCCACTCTGTTTGTTCTTCTCTCCGCAGGAGTACTCCACAGCTGTGGACATGTGGTCGGTGGGCTGCATATTTGGCGAGCTCCTTACCCAGAAACCACTTTTCCCTGGAAAATCAGAAATTGACCAAATTAACAAGATTTTCAAGGTAAATGCACTGATTTGCTCTTATAAAATGAAGTAAATCCTCACCATAAAGGGTAAAACTCTTCTGTTTATAGCCAGTAAATCTTTTGAGTGTGACGTCTGTCAGAGTAGGTCAGCATGGAGTTTTAAAGCGCGCCACAGGATGGAGCTGTTGGTAGGCTTAAACCCAGCTGATGAAGTTATTATGAAACTGAGAGGCTTACCATATAGGGTTTTTCCATAGCTGGGGAGGAGGTTGTGCCGAGCTGTGCCAAGCCATGCCGTGAACGGCCGTGAGCTATGGACCCGCTCTTGCACAGTCTGAGTGTGTTTCCACAGCTAGATAAAGTTGTTTACCTTGATGTCGTGTTGAAGGTGTACCAGTCACAAAACACACTAAAGTGGACTGACACGGACCTGTGGAAAAACCCTAATAGCTGGCTGAATGCTTTTCAGTAGATGATCCGCATAAAGCATGACAGCCATGTGGCTGATGTCATTCAGGCCTCCCAAGTCATCCTACAGTCTTTACCAGTGATATATTTAATTGTTGAAATGTACTTAGAACTGGTGTATGTCTGTGGTTGAGGAATACTTTGCCAAAATGGGAATATGTCATATCCATCTCTCCTTGCACTAACAGTATGCTGTCTTCTGACTTACGTGTGTGTGTGTGTGTTGTCTGTAGGATCTGGGGTCACCCAGCGAGAAGATCTGGCCTGGGTACAACGAGCTGCCCGCTGTGAAGAAGATGACTTTCACAGAGTATCCCTACAACAACCTGCGAAAGCGCTTTGGAGCGCTGCTCTCAGACCAGGGCTTCGACCTCATGAACAAGTAGGATTGCTAGAGGCTGTCTTATTCCAAACATTACACCTCACACATGCTGCACTGCATATTTACTGCATTGCAGTCAGCCTGGCTGTGGTACTGCAACTGGTTTCTGACTGTAGCTGCATGCAGTGTGTATGGGTAACTGTGTGAACTTTAGCTACTTGTTGCAAGAAATTAGGAAAAACATCAGCTTGTACTAATCTGTTTTAATGGTATTGTTATTCAGCATTGTTTGACAAATTTGAGAATTTCTCCAAAATCTCCATATCGGCATTGTTTTATTTTATTTATCTATTATTGATAGAACACAGACCAATATGAACGCATGGCCACTAATATCAGTAACAATCAGCATGACTCCTACAGTGGAAATTGCCTTACTTGGATGAACGCATTGCTACCCTGTCAAATACTGCTACTCTTTCCAGCTCTTTTTATTCAGTCAGTGCATTTCTGGCAAGCTGACTTAAAACATGACAACGGTAGCGGACTGGTAATTCATCAACATGCCTCAGCAGCAGTCCCGTTCCATCTCCTTGTTCCCCTTCACACACACACACACTCACCATGGTGATGCTCCAAACTACAGGAAAATGTTTTAGAAATCACACGTTTAATACGGAAAATCATTTTCACACAGAATAATGGGTTCATAATTCTTTCTCGCACATTCCGAAGATCAGCATTGTTTAGCAGCTGCAAAGAGCAGAGACGAGCTCCTCTCAGATCTTTACCCACCCACAAAGCCTTTTGCCTACACCTGTAAATGACAAAACCATACCGCTCGCTTTCCTCACAGCTGCGGAGGATGGTAAAAGCATGTCCACTGTGCTGCTGGGAGCGATCACGGTCCAGTGGAAGTTTGGCGCCTGTCCAGTGCAGCTGAAACCTTCCAGCTGTCACAAGACTCATGTGGCGTTTACCAAGGGACAGATTCAGACCGCAGGAGGTCAACACGTAGAGAAGTGCTGTTTGAAAAGCTTCAGACAGAGCGCCGTAGTGGAGGTTTTAGAGGTGTAGTTTGGCAGGTAGATATCACAGAGCTGTTTGGAATATCACACCCCCGTGTAGGAAAAGGTTCAGAGCGGTATCCAACCTGAGGAGGGGTTTCAAGTTGCAAGTTCAAGTTCATTTCTGATGCAATAATGGGGGTAGGCAGATAAAAGAGATTTTGATTTCCATCCCGCAAGACCCAGGTTTTCTGTCCTACTTTCTATCACCTCGTGTCCCAGGTATTAACAGGTCTGTATGGTCGGATTGAACACCAGCAGGGCTCTTGGGTCCTGAGGGTCCTGAGGAGGAAGAGTGCACATTCTTTGAATTCCAAAACAAAAACAATGATTTGGACACAAATGGACGATTGTCCCTTTCGGTGCCAGCATTGACCCCATGTGTCATAAAGCTGGTGTCGGTGTATTCCCAGTCAGTAGCCTTTGTCAGGGATTCCTTCCACATGAAAACAGAGACAGTTTGTTTAATTAAATCTTTTCATGCGGGTGTTCATCATTACACTGCGCCTGCTCACGCAGGGAAGATTCCAATTGTGAAAGCCAATTATCACAATTGAGCAGCTCTCCATAATGCTGTGTTGATCCTGTCGTAGACAATTAGGACTCCTTGTGCAAACCCACTGGCCCCTCATGTCACTGCTGCATCTTGGGGCCAGATTGTCTGTCTCCCTGTAGTTCAGTTTATACAGCCGATATTTAAAATGACAACACTTGTCCTATACTTTTAAACTGGATCTTTCTCAGCCTAATGGGGATTCCTACACAACCTCTGCCAATCCACTTCTCAATAGATGCACATCAGACAGAACCATTACACAAGCAGTTTGTGGTATTGGCTGCTAACTTGCAACAACTTGCATAGCTGCGCCAATCTCATCCTAGCTTACGTCAATTTTGGGCCATTTTCTTGTCACTATTTTTCTGGCTGTGGCACAGAAAGATGACACCTCCATGGTTAATTCCACCTACAAAGCCCTGATAGGTTTTCCAACTGGGGAGACGGCCATCACTGAGAAAAACACCAGAACTATTTCACTCAGTGGGCTGGAACCGGGTTACCTCTTACCTCTCAAAGTGAAGTTTTACAGTTTTTACCCAGGACTCACTGACGCACAGAGGTTTCCACACAAAGACAAAGTCACACAACAACGCGAGCTGCCTGCTTAGCTGTATTGGCCTCTCCATGTGAACTCAATCGTTGACTGTTTTTACAGATTCCTCACCTACTGCCCCAGTAAGAGGATCTTATCAGACGAGGGGCTCAAGCACGAGTACTTCCGCGAGACGCCGCTGCCCATCGACCCGTCCATGTTCCCCACCTGGCCGGCCAAGAGTGAGCAGCAGAGGGTGAAGAGAGGCACCAGTCCCCGTCCACCCGAGGGAGGCCTGGGCTACAGTCACCTGGTAAGGACATTAGGCTCCACTTTCTCCATTACATACAGCTACCAGGCTTTCCGAATGCTGTCTGTGTTAAATAGATTACAGACCTACAGGCTTCTGCTTTGTGTCCGGGTATTTCCTCCTTGTGTTTTCCATGATGAGCACCCTTTAGTGCTTAATGTTTTCAGCAGTGGTCCTACCCACCCAGAAGCATAAGCATGATATTGGTATTCATCAATAAAAAAGTTAGTGTTGATATTGGCCATCTTACCCACAAAATAGACAATTTGATGCCAGCGGTATTGGTTGTTTATCTCAGTTTTATTCTTGTCAGGGTGGAAAAGAGTAAAACTCCAATGACACCCTGGAAAATAATAACTTTAATAATAATATTAATAAACATGTTCATGCATACTTGTGTGGAATACAGTCAAATGTCTCATTACAATCCATTCATGTTAAGGGTTTCCCAAAAGTAACCAGTGTAGTATTGATCAGTTCTGTTATAAATATGTAAGAAATGAAACCGCTTGATAACAAAAGAGCGATGAAACCGACTGGGCGTTAACCATGAGCTAACTTTGTCTCCATAATCTCTCTAGGGTGATGACGACCTGAAAGACACAGGCTTCCACCTGACAACCAGCAACCAGGGAGCGTCTGCCGTCGGTCCAGGTTTCAGCCTCAAATTCTGAGCCCAAAAGCTGCAGGACACCTGGCGGTCTCACTGAGAAAAAGGGTGCGGGGGAGTTCTCTTTTGGAACTGGACAGTGTCACTGGTTTACAACCGTAAACCCGATCAATGCCTGGTCATTGCAACTGTTACTAAATAGTCAGGACTGTCTCACAGCAAAGACTGGTGGCTGGTTGGATTTCCAGAGTTTTCCCATCACTTGTCGGCTTCTTTTCTGTATTTTCGAGCCATTTCGCCATTTTAAATGTGGTCATTTTAGCTCTTAAAGAGGAGACACAACCATACATCTGTTAGAAGTTTAGCTCTCATGTTTGACTTTTGTTTTATTTTCCCTTTTATACTTCATGAGAGAGAACCAGATTTAGTAAATGGTTGGTATTTCCTGGCTGCCTGAGCTACTGTATAATGATGCAGCATTGGCTGTGTTTTCCATCCAGCATTATGTTAGAAATTTACTGAGTACTGTTGGGTCACTTGATGACAGGGGGACGATGTTTTTGCTAGAAATAAAGTTTGAAACTTTGTTTTGTCTGCCGTTTTCCCTATATTTATAAACTCGGTCCAAGTTATTTAAACACAACCACACGCTGCCAGAGGAGGAAAAAAATGAAGGGAAGTCGAGCCTAAAAAAAAAAAAAAAAATCCAGCCTTGAACCCAGCTTGGTAGTCGCTGTCCAAAAGTGATGTCATTCTTTGCACTGCACACTTTGTCTCAGTACTTTGTTCTTTCAGGAGAAAAGAGGCCCAGACTTCTCTCTGCTTTTGTTTTTAAATGGCTCTGCGACTTCAGAATTAAACCAATAAATTCTTTGATTTTGAGCCGAAGAATAATAAACAGTACAGTTTCATTCCCTGCAAAGACCACTTGCTGCTTTCACTGGAACAGGCGCAGAAAAATCCCTCCGTCTTGGCACTTCTAGAGCCAGCACCAAATGGAAATGTTCATTAATCAGTTTTATCTATCCCCTGCCCCCACTGGAGCCCTTCTGCAGATTATTACACCTGATGTGTTGAATAAGCTTGGAAGGAGAGCTGCTAGTGGAACTGACTGCTCAGTCTCTGGAGGCAGACTGCTGGCTTCACTGTGAGGCTAGTAAAGTAAGCTAGACGTCTGAGGTGTTCCATATGCGGTTTAACGTCCAAATAGTTCCAAAGGCTGTAGACAACATTGCTTATTCTGGCTTTCGTAGCTTACTTTGGTCAGTGCGTAAATTATTCAAATGGCATGCATCTAAGCAAGGGCTTCTGTAACTTTTTCAAGCCCGTAGAACGGAATGCATTATGGACATAAATATTTTGTGGATTCCCCAGGGACCTATAGTGGGAGATTTTGTGTTCAGTGTATATGAGAAGTTACTCCTATACCTTCTCCAACTCGCCTAATATATTTTCAATTAAGCCACAGTGAGATCTAATTAGGTCCTGTTTTGCTGGAGACGCCCCAAGAACCTCTGGGTGGCCTTGGACCTCATCACTGCATTAGCAGCAAAAGCTTTGAAGAAATCCAGGCCTGATGAATCCAGAGCAGACGTTATTGTCCCAAACAGCTGACGAGGGCTGCAAGGATCTTTCATCACCAAATAAAATGCAAACCGCAACATCTGTCATGAACAGCTTTTCACAGTCAGGTAGTATTTTCACTAAAATTCAACTTGTCACGGAACATTTATTATTTGCACATATTGATGAAACGCCTTAACACAATGACAACGATAGACAGTTGTATGTGGGAGATACAGGAAAGACAGTATTTAAAAATCGGAAATATGTGCCCTAGTGAATGAGGTCTCCTTGTGACCGTGTGATGGATGCGTCCTGTTCAGTGTGTGGAGGAGCTGGCGCTGGCGTGGCCTTCAGAAGCGCACGCGTACTCTCCACGAGTAGTTTGTGAGAACTTTGTCCTTTTTCTTCACAATGCAGGTGTATGTGCCTTCGTTGATGGCGTTGGCCACTATAGTAATGTGGTCATCTTTCAAGGAGACGTAGTTCGGGTGCGAGAACTCCAGCAGCTCCCCATCCTTGTACCAGCTGAAACAGAAGTGGCACATTAGGCTGTGCTCGGCGAACTCATGCCACAGCATCGCTCAGGTCAGGTGGCAGATACTCACTATACTTTGCCTTTCTTCGATGCTATTTTCTTCCCGCAGCGAAAAGTGAGCTTCTTGCCCTCGACGACCAGCTTGTGTTTGGTCCTCGGGGGTGTCGGGGTGGGAGCCACAGTGGGGAAAGGGAATTCTGAAGAGGGTTGAGGGGGGAGACACAGACATCAGAGCGTTAATGAGCTTGCAGCGATCCTGACCGTGCAACAATCATCTGAGAACAATTAGAAAAGGGAGAGATAATCCTGTACCTCGGTGGATTTCACAGTCTGGAGACGTCACAACTTTACCTCACTCAAACACTGATTACTGTCAATATTTTTGATATAAACCTTATCACGTCAGACACTTAATACGCTTTTCATAACTCCTGACCTGCCAGCGCCACGGCTGTCTTATCAATATAATATCTCCCATCTGGTTTCTGACAAACACAACAGGCCGCCTTATGATCAACTCAAAGTCTGCTTAAAAAACAGTCGCTCTCGTTAATGCCGCAAAAATCCAAATTGACCTTGTGTGTCTCTAACCCTCAAGCCACAGTCTGAAATTCCAGCGGTTTGGAGTCACTCAGGAATTTTCCACAGCCGTACAACGTCTCCCAATCAACAATGAGGAACAGATTACTGCGAGCCAGGAATCGTATCCTCTTGCCTCTCTCCACACTGTCCCCTGTTGCTGACAAAAATCTCAGACAGCCACAACAATCTATGGCCTGTGATGGTTAAGAGGAGCCATTTCCTGTTGTGCAACAGGAGACATCAGCACCAGTGCGTCTCACAGTAAACCTAAAGAGGCTTAGGCTGTCAGATTGCTGTGAGTGTTATCAATACTTGCTGGAGACGGCAATCAACAGGTACCTGGACCTGCTCTGATTGAGTTCTGGGCTAAAGCACGCATTGCCTCCCTGGGGACACTGGTATTCTCCAGATCCAAACACAAACTCCTCCAGTGGCAAGTGTAATCTCTCTTCAAGTCAGATTCTTGAAAACCCCCATCGCAGCTCTGCATGGCTGGACCTGTTGGCTCCCGTTGCTCCATTGGCAAACGGTTCACAGCAGCTCCTTGCGCTGCTCAATTGAGAGAAAACTTTTTTTTCTTCCTTGGACTGCTCGTGCTTTCTGCTGCTGTGTCTTACCGTAACAGAAATCACAGCTGGAGGGGCAGTGCTTCTGCATCAGCTTGCGCTTGCTGTCGCAATAGCCTTTCCGAGCCCAGGCCGGACAGATAAAGAACCGGTCCAAACATCCTGGAGGAGAAAGGGAGATGGAGTGAGTAGGAGGAGGATCAGACAACAGCTCTCAGTCAGCAGCAAAAGAATTTGGATCCCTGATCTGCTTTTTGTTCCAATGAAAATGACTCACCATAATACACGCTAATGATGACTCATGAGTAGTTTATACAATATTCATTAATGCCACGTTGGCTTTCAGCATCAGACCAACACTGTGGTCTACATTCTGGTCGACTGTGACCAAAAATGGGTCATAGGTTTTGTATCTAGATGTAATTCTTCTAATGCCAGGATCAGATTGCACAATAGTTTTGCCTTTCAAGTTTGTCACTGTCAGATTAAGCCCTCACTTAATTTCTAGTAGTTTTTTCAATTTATTTTTATAACAACCTTTTACTTTTACCACTTAAATTATTATACAAATATAATAATAATAATAATAATAATGATGATAAGCCAGACATTGTATTTGTTTTTGTTTTAATGCGTTTGAGGGAAATTATTGTATATTATTCTGTATGCATCACTGCTTCTCAACATTAAAACAGGTGCATATCACGCATGACAGACGTAACAAAGAGACTCGACCCTGTTTGAAGTTTCTGTCAGCTTTGCACAGAAACAGTGAGTTGAAATGTCCTTCAGAGAAGCCAGGAGAGTTCTTTTTTCTGTATTACTTTGGGTATAGGGCAGCACGATATTGTAAATACATAATATTGCTTTTTTTTGCTAGATATTGCAATTGCGATATGATTCACAATTAGTGTGGTACTGATCATTTTTGTGTCACACATTTAATTTTCATTGAAAAAAAACTGTTAAAATCACAATGTTGTCTCTATCAAACAAACATGTTTTCTTAAATCTGGAGAACAAGATTTGTAGGTCAGGGCATCTCTGTGGCACCACTGTACACACTTTACCTTTCTTAAAAAAACTACAGCTTCAGTGATTTGATGTTTGCACTTGGCCATATTGCGATTTTGATAACATTAGTTGTGCAGCCCTATTTTTGTACATTTCCGAACCTGTACATTTTACTTTCACTTGAGTAGTTTTTGAATCAGAGCTTCTACTTTTCTTTTTTGTATCAGTATCTGTTCTTCTACTTGAGTAAAGAATATGTGTACTTCTGCCTCCTCTGCATGGCAGACTACAGGTTGGACCCAGAGCAATCATATCTTGCCGTCTTTCATGGCCATCATGACGTGCAGTTGATCTGTAAGGTCGTGCCAGAGACCAGCTTCACAGATCCTTCCTGTTTTGCCCTTGGCATGATTAACGTCTACATCATGGGTCCTGTTGTAGGAGTCATCAAACTGGGCAAAAAAGGTTTGGTGCTGGGTCTTTTATCGTGAACCTTCTCAGATGCATCAGTTGTCTTCCACTATGACAGACCATCTGGGATAAAATCATCAGGCCCATCATGTAGTCTGATCCCAGCATGAGGACTGGATTTACTGTTTAGGTCTTGAGGATATTTTCCATTCAATCAAGGAGACTTCAGCGGTTCACCATCTGGATGATTTGCAAAATGTCTTCAAGATCAGTGGTTCCCAACCTTTTTCTTTAAGGGACCCCTTTTCTGTTCTTTAGTAAACTGACAACCCATAGACCGTTGTTCTATTAGATAAATTACTTCACTTTAACGTTTCTTAACTGAAGGGAACAAAACGCTGAGATATAGGTCTACTGTGTATATTTTTTAGTTTAGTTTTCTCACACCCCTTAAAATCAAGAAGGCCTCGTAACCTCCCATAAAGCTTTGACGACCGCTAATGGGGGTCCCGACTCCGAGGTTGGCAACCACTGTTCAAGACCAACAAGTCCATTTGCCTGTCAATTACTGCTACTAGATATCCTGTTTCCTGGATGACAGACAACATTATCAGTGCTGGCAAAGCCCAAAAGAAGAACTTTCCCATTTGTATTCCAATACAGTCAGAAAGGATTGTGAACATACCGTAGAGACGGTGCAAACCCCACACCTCATCCTGTGTGATTAGCTTGCGCCCTGTCAGAGTCGCATTCAGGTGCATTATAGCTTTCGGGTCCAAAGAGTGCATGAGTCCCAGGACGTGGCCAATTTCATGAGTTGCCACATGGACAAGATCAGTCAGCCAAACCCCTGCAACATAGATACTGTTGATTATTTTCTCTTTCAGTTGCCGTGCACCCCACGAGCTGTCCAGTTCAGCGTCTGCTGCATCCATCACTTTATGGGTTAAATATTAGCCATTTCAAGAAACATGATAAAAACGCATACCTTTCTTCCAGCTAAAGCGCATGTTTCCCAGAATCCAGTATTCGTGGTCGTCGAAGTGGATCTCGCCAGTTGGCGGGAAGAATGCGTGAGCCAATTCTCCGGTGATGCCGTCGAAACAATGGTGCAAGTAGGACTGCAGACAGTCTGTGTGGTTGACGGGGTAGAAGCCTGCCAAGACCGAGAGAGAGACACATACCTCAGAGCTGAGGAGGGAAACCCTCACTCCATTATTTCTGCTCTGTGTAGACTGCAGCAGGGGGATGATGGATTGCTAAAGACAGAGGTTTTTCTTCAGCCTTCACCCAGCAGGATGACAACCATTTCTCTCACTGTCACTGAGAATTTATGCAGGACCCTTGAGTTTGTACCCAAAGGGACAGATAAAGCATAATTTAGACTGCTTCACCATGGGCTGACATGTATGGAAGTTGTTAAGCATTTATTTTTTTCATTTAGAATAATGAATCATGCGGAATATAAGCTTGGTAATATAGTTGCGGTAGTGTGATTTAATAAGTTTGGAGGCGAAAACATTTCAGCGATGACAGCACGGAGAGAGAAAAAGTAACGACAAAGTAGAAGTCTGGAGCTCAGGGCCAAGGAACATCTGTAGGGGATTGATACAGCCACATGCGGAGTACCCACCGATTTTAATGTCTGCCTCTTGGTCAGCTGGCACCTCTCTGAAGCTGAACGGCGAGACGTCGCTCCACATGCCAAAAGCTCTGGCAATGCCTCGACGCGTGTCACTGGCATTTATCAGGTTTGTAGGGAAGGAGAGCAACCTGCTCAGAAAACAACAGCATTATGTAGTTAATACTGGTCTCTACACACATTCCTCTACAGCAGAGGAATCTGCCAAAACACAATGGCTACTGTTTAGACAGACCAGAATTCCCACAAGCACTGCAAGTACAGCTCCATTACTGAGACTTGAAATTCTTTTATACTGTATCTGAGATAGGGTTCTTCTAATAGGAATCCTATTGATCAGTTGGTAACCTCCACTGTCAATATGAAAGAGATGAAGATATAGTATGAATTTGGGAACGACTGAAGTTTGGCTCATAATCTTTTTGTCAACTGTTCACTTAAGTTTGCTGGCTCACCAAAATCCAGTGATTAAACCTCTGTAGTTCAATCCAATCTTCTTTTATGGGATCTTTTTTTGTTACAGCTCCAGAAAGAATAAAGTATCACTGGATCTTCTCCAAACAGTTAGTGCAGCACAATCCAAATGTGTTGTAGCTAAGCAATTGCAGTGTGGGTGTGAAAGTCCTCCAAATACTACTTAATTTTCTTCTCTGACAAATGCAAGCAGAGAGTTCTGTAATGCAATCCCTGATGGATAATGCACTTTAAACCTTTGTTAGTCCTACAACCTTAAGTGGACATCTTGACTGACATGAGTTGAAAAATACTTTAAATTTAGGGGAAATGATCCCACTAAGATGCAGCTAAACCACACCAACAACAGTCTGATTTCAAGATCTTTAACGTGGCAATGTTTTCCTGCCAAAACCAACATCAGTCTAACTCCCTCCCGTGTTTTATCAAAGATTTATTTTGTTCCTTTTTCCATCTTCTACAACTGCTCTTGACTTAGAGGAAGAATTGTAAATGAATACTTGTATGTTAGCCTGAACTTGTCCCACTTGAGCTGCTCCGGGGTGAGGGTGTAGCGCTTGTTCCTGGAGAGATGTAGAACTTGTGACCGGGCCTCTTTGCGGATCCCAATGAGCAGCACATTGGTGTAAGGTTCTTCCTTGGACAAAGAAAAACCTTTAATTAATCACCTCGCACTGAGGTGAAGTCAGAAACTGGACCTTAAGGCGTCTAAAACTATTACTGGGTTCTGATCTAAAGTCATAGATTGGGCTTCCAAAAGAGTTCAAGATAAATTATTTTTTTGTTCGCTCAGTGCACATTAGAGCCTCGGAAAGGGTTTGACTTTTGAATCTGCAGGCATTAAATTGTTATCTTGACAGTTACAACTTCGCTCAGTTGCTGTTATTTCTGTGCCTTGCATCTGATTTTCATACAAGGCCATTCCATCTCATGGAAACTGGAAGTGGTCAGCAGTAAAAGTGCTTTCCAAACATAAGTATGATCCTTTTCACAGATAGATTGTGTCTGAGTCTCTTTAGGTCAACATTGACTCCAAGTGATCACACCTGGACTCCACACTGTTGTTTTATAGCTATGGGTGCATTGCATTTTAGTGCTTTCATAAATATATCTGTGACCGAAGTTAAGTTGTGGTTTTCCTTGGCTGTGATATCCCATAATAGTGATCGCCCAGTTGATAAAATCAATAACTTTTTATGGAGATGGGTTTAAGTAATAAATCCACTTTCCAACACTTGAAGTCGGCCGTGATTCTAACTCAAGGAGCCCACTCTCTGCTTTAGAGCAGGAAGGCTTCCTGTCCCAGCTGATAAGTTTAAGGAGGATTAAAACTGAATCTCTACCCTGAATCTTTATTCTTTACACAGGCCCACTATCTGTTTTAACCTTTAAGCTTGGAGACTGACGAATGTATAAATTATACGTCAGGTGTAAAATGTGAGAGGATGAAGAGAGACTGTCAACAACATACAATTTGCAGTGAGAAGTGTAAAGGCCGTAATACGCATCAAACTAAGTTCTTGTCTGATTGTCTAACAGCGTTGGTTCTACCAAAACACAATCTTTTCCACAGCAATCGACCAGGTGTGTGGAAGTAAGTAGTAAGAAGAAGTAAGAAAGTATGCAAATTTTGACCTTGTCGGTATACAACTGAACACCATCAATACCTTCTAGGAGAAACTGTCTGAATATGTGCACTATTTGTATGATTTATCATAATCGAATCGAAATAGAAGATCCTACAAGAGTGCCCCAGCTACTCTAGAAATAGCCTACGTTATGACGATGTGAAAGTCGGCAGGGTTTAAACTTCTGTCTTAAGCTTTTTTTTCTCCATTTCTCACACAACTTTCTGAGTGAAAAACCAGGGTGCAACACCCTGAATTCCTTTGAGGAGAGACTGACAAAGTATTTACTGTCAGGGGTGTTTCCAGACTTTTTTGACTTGGGGGGGCATAAGTGGGGCACTGACTTATGCAGGGATGGCATAAAGTATGTGTCTCAGCTTTCCAGTCATTACCAATTTATGCAATTTCAACACTGTTTATGGACCCCAGTATGCAAATACACTAGGTGAAAATAACACATTTATACCACATGCAAAAAACTGCATGGGATTAGCATAAAGTGTGCATGTCTGCAAAGGGGAGACTTGTTGGTACCCATAGAGCCTATTTTCATTCAGATATCTTGAGATCAGAGGTCAAGGGATCCCTTTGAAAATGGCCATGGCAGTTTTTGCGTTAGATCATCTAATTTCATATGATACCAGAATCTTCACTTTAAAATGGAGCCTGACACTGGCTCTGAAAGCCAGTGCGGAGTGGAAAAGGTAAGGATAATGGGGTGGCACTTGTGGTGGCCAATCAGATTTCAGGGGTGGCCAGTGCCCCCTTTGGAAGCAGCCCTGTTCACTGTTATACCTATTTGAGCTGACTTTTCCTAAATATTTTGCTTTTTTCTTGTGAATATGATAATTTTACTTCTTCAGAACACAACACATAATTTAAATATAGCTTTAGCAAAGAAAATCAGACTTTATTTGAACTACAACTGGCAGACCTGTGGAACCTATGCTCCAGCAATCTCATACTGGGCAAAAATACTGAAGATGGAGAGCAAATATCAAAGCCACTCCCTTCACTTTGTATTCTACACCCTATCCTCCAGTTCCTGTTTCTGCTTCGCCCAGTCAAGACAAATAGATCCAGTACTTCCTTCATTTCCTTACCAAAATAGTGAAACAGGGGCAGGCAGTCTGGCAGACTGTCCCATACTGCTGTCTTGAATGAACTTGATGACATCTCTTGCTCTAAAAGTAAATATAAAATTTCTGTACTGCATTATATGTACTGGTCATTGTTTTATACAACAGTTGCTTTCCTGACCTCAGCTAACACACTGGAGTCTTGTGTTCAGTAATTTATGAGGTGTTTAATGTAGTAAGGCCAGCACAGTTCTTTCCGTGTCGAGTCTTGTTATATTCACTCACTGCAAATCTAATCTCACACTTTGGCACAAATAAAGATGAACCATAAACCATAAGGGCTGAAACAAGCATGCTAGACTAAACCTTGAAGCCAGTGGTGAGCGCTGACTCGGAGGGCAAAACATCTGAGGACAAATCCCAGAAGATCCTGGAGTGAGTCTGGAAGAGTTTAACCTCAGTCGCAGAGACAAGACAAGAAGACAGGGATTATGATTTTCATCCTTAGTTTCGGGAAGATTGGAGGCCCAATTCGACAATGGCTATTTTCTGTATATAATTCAATACATACACTGTCAAACTAAGCTTTTACTCAGCATGCAGCTTTATTTGACAAACTGGATCTGAGAATTAGGTAAAACATTCTGAATATACAGTAGGCTATACATCGGCACCATTCATAGAAAATAGTGTTAATGTGAATTTGCATATTCTGAATATCTCTCAATATTGAATCATCAAATAGTGCATTATTTCCAGTATACATAAAAGAAAACACACGCAATCCTCTTCTGCACTCAGGTCTACCTTTACTCACTGACTAATACATTTATGCTCTTATGTGTATTTTACTATTTTACTGTAATTTATCCTGGTAGCCTACAAGAAGCCTATCTAAGGCAGTTATGCAATCCTCAACAGCAGTCATCTTGATTGACACATAATGAGAGTGTGTGGCAAAAGGAAATGACATGAGGCTATCCATCAGGCTCGTATCACAGTGGGTGGGTGGCAGTGATAGAAGTCATGTGGAGGAACACATTTATCCAATTCACTGAATATATTACTGTACAGGGACCCATTCCATAGCAGCCTAATCTAATTATCCCCTAACTCCAGTTTAACCGAACATTAATTGAATATAAGGCGCATGGGTAAGCTATAACTCAATGATTTCAAATAAGGAACTAATGAAGAAACCGGTCAAATTATTGAAAATTGCATGGACAGAGGCACCCTTCTCTTTTAAAGTTGGAACTCTGAAAAATCATACTTTAGAGACCATACTTCATTCAAAAAATGTTAGAATTAAATTATTTATTTAAGGGACTGTCAGATGTACCCAGCTTGATAAGACAGATCATTAATCTTTATGTTCTTTTGATGAATTCAGGGTAAAAGGAGTCCACCAAGTATCAGTTTATATGATTTTAACCTGGAAGGCAGTACATAGGAGGTGAACCATTTACTTACAAGAGTTCGTTACTGTTTGAAATAAGTGCTGCCCCGTGGGATACAATAATGTATAGCCGAATTGAAAAGTGGCTTCTGATAATTAAAAATAATTGCAAGCCCTAGCATGTCTAGACTGTGGCTGCACAGAAACACAGGGTAAATATTAACTCACAGAATTTTGAATGCAGTTTGGTGTTATGTTTTTGAAAAGATCATGGACACAGCATTACTTATAGAACTTAACAATAACAAAGCAGACAATATATTGGACTTGCAGGATTGCAGTGGCAGCTCTTACATGTCACAAAGTGGTCGCAGCATACCTCTAACCTCCAGGAGGGAAACGCTGTGGCTTGTTGCATCCCTGCGAACAGAAGAGTGAGCAGCGCAGCAGCCAGCAGAGCAGCGAAGCTCCAGTCGCCCCTGCGTAAACTTCTGGGAGTCTGACAGCACACCATGGCTGCGATTAGAACACCTCCAGGAAAAGAAAAACTCCACAAATAATCCCTCTACTAACACTACACAGGTTTACCATCTATGCCCGTGAACACTACTTCTTGGCCATTGCGCGTTTCGGTCATGTGTGTCAGTACTCGGGGAGCTTCTGGTGCTGTGTGCGGCAGCGCAGTCCAGCCTGCGGACCGGGTAGTGAAAGCAGTGCAGACTGCATCAGCTCTGCTCGGCTCTCTTCCGTACAGTGCGCCTGCCAGAGGGCTGGTTTCATATTACTGTAGATGGGGCAGGGGGTCAGTGTCGAGACAATCTAATGAAAACCAAACGCGCTCTGTCCATCAACCCACTTGTTGCAAACACCAGAGCTCAGTTAAAGCAGAATCAGATGGCTTATTTTGAACATGATTTTCTGAGGTTTATGTAATGCTGTTGGGGGGGGGAAAGTAGTTTAGCCGTCTTTTTATCCCACTGTGGCATGCACAGGCACTTTTTCGGGCAGGGTAGAAAACACTTCTGTGACTTGTCAATTCCAAACAACCCAGGACAAAAAACAAAAACAACAAACAAATCTTATTATATCACATAAAACATTGTCAAATAAATACAAGTGCAGCTGCATTGAATTTTCCTTTTTAACTCTTCAAGGCAGGGGAAATCAGTCTGAACTACAACTGGCATTTCACATTTCTTATTGTTTAGAGTTTTGTAAAAGTTTCAAGTTGTGTGTCCTCCACTGGGATTTGCAAGCATTTCTGTCCAGCAAGAACAGTGACATGATCAGTGCAGGGGCCATACAAAGTATAGCCTAGTTGATTCAGTTTGCACTGCTGCCAGTTGTAGAAGGGCTGGATGAGTGGGTGATGGTCTTGGGGTACATTCACCCCTTGTGTACGCCACTGTCTTCCTCATGGCTAGTCCTGGCCCATGAAACTGAAAAAAAAATATTATTTAGAAAGACCAACGACTGAGAAGACATGTTGATTGTGTCTCAGTTCAGGGGATTCCCAGGGATGTTCCATGACTTTAATTTCATTAATATTATCAGAACATACGGTTCTTATCACAGTCTAATCAGTTTTCATTCTTGCCCCATGACCATAACAAACCAAATGGTGTAAATGGTTAACTGGCAACATCCCATCCCATAGTGAGCAATCTGCTGTACCGCTGTGTGAGTCTGGCATTAACATGTATCACTGTATTCAAATAGTGTTGATAGATTAAAGTATTTGATTTTTTGCAGCTTCTAGGTAAAGTTGTGTTTGAGCGTCTCTCTTTTAGTCTGATCATTAGGACAGATGCCTATGGTAAACTATTGGTAATCACCAGGCATTTTTCACATTTCAACATTTTGACACGTAATAGTGAAAAATAAGTGTAATTATTAATATTAAGTGCGTATCATTATGTCAGTTCCAGGATGTTGTGCATGCTTGACACTTAAACTGAACATCTTTAATAATTCAATTTAATGATGAAATTAGTAACACCTGTTCTTTTCCTACCTGTGATAAATCCAAATGTCTGCTGTGAAAGAGACCTTGTAGCCTTAGTAGAAATAATTAACAGATGTTTTGCATGCAGGAATGTTGCAGTTGCACCTCCAACTTCTCATCAACATCTTCTGCCAGTTTCCATTCATTGAAAGAAAGAAACTGCAGTTCCACTTTTCATCCCACAGGTATGAGCCAATCGGGAGTGTATCTATATCCCTGCCGCAGTGGGCTTGCACGAGTCAAGCCAAGCCAGCACATGTGTATGGAAAAATGAGGCTTCTAAATTCCCTAACCCCCTAATCCTACCCCTAACCCTAGAGCTGGGGAACATAGACCCCTGGGAACACAGGAATGACCCAAGGCAAACTGTATCAGCTACACTGAATAGAATCTAGGTCTTTTTTCTCTGCATTTAATTATGATTTTTTTCTTGTATTCACACAGAGCTTGACTGGGTGGAAACAACTCCTGGGCCCCATAAAGCTCATCCAGATAGCTCAGAATTGCCACAAGAATGTCACATTTTGTGGATCCACAAAAATTAAATCCCAGAGCAATTTAAAAAACATAAAATCCACTCAGAAATATGTTTTTCGTTTTGTTCCTACACATGGATGTTTGGGCTTCACTGTGCATAATGATGTTTGTGCAGAGTTTGACTCTAGAAGGGTGTTTTTACAATCATCTGCTGAAAGTGGAAAGTTTCTCTGTGCTCATTAAAAATCAGATTTTTAAGGGGCGGGGCCCTACCAGGGCAGGATTTTGTGACTCAAATAATTTGATAATCAGTCCTGGTCCAGTAAAGCATCGTCATGATAACAGCTGTAGATGTAGAGAACGTGAAGCACCACCTTGCCTTCACTTGAGATGGACTTTACAGTGAAGTAGGAGACATTTTGTGTCTAGCAGGAAAACTTTAGAAATGAACTAAATTTGCATATTCATAGAATCAGATTATTTTTTAATGAGGTAGAAGGAGTAGATGGCTTTTCAAGGATATTTTTTGTGGAAAAAACATATTTGACACACATTGTTCCAACCAGACTATTTTCATACATGTCTGGAGGGAATCTTTAACTATAAAAATATGAGCTATGATCTGAAATCTGAAACCTTTGATATTTGATGATAAGAAAACTAATTATTATTTTTTAAATTACTTATGGACATATTACAGCAAGCCCATGTCCCAATAGTCTTGTCCCAATAGGTTTAGTATTTAATGCCTACCTATAAACAGATGATTTTTTTTTTTTTTTTACTGTATTTTGTATTATTTATTTGTATTATTTATTTGTATTATTCATTTGTATTATTTTTCCTATCGTATCTCCTATTTCATATCGCCTATCTAACTATATTGGGGCTAAAGCGGGAATAAAACGCTGGTCGGAACCATTGTATGAGAAGCGGTTTCTTCGACCTCTGAGCGCCGTTGCACTTCTGGAGGAGGAAATGGCGCCCGTCCTGTGCAGCAGGCTTTACAGACTCCAACCAGTCAAGTACTCTCGAAGTTGACACGTTTTCTCCACAGCTGGCTCTCCGTGGAACAGGCTCAGCGGGCACACAACTATGTTTTTAAGCGGAGAGAAAGCCAGTGTGTGTCGGATGGTGAAGACGTAACCGGTAAGAGCTGCTGTCAGACATTTCCTCCTCTGTGTCCCTGCACGGACAGCGTTAGCCCGCTGGTAGCCTGGTAGCTTTAATCCCATAATCTCTGGTTGTTTGCCCCTCCCGGAGAACGGTGTCCTATCTGGGTGGCAAGTGTGTCGGTTTCTCCCGAAAGTGCCTCCTCCACTCCAGACTTTGGGTGTGGGTGGTGTTTAACGAAATGCCACGTGTATTGGCAAGCTGAACAACTGTCTACTGTTTGTCCAGCTTCGAACCCACCCACTTTACCTTGGACTCAAAGTGGCTGCCGGTACCGCTACTGTACCGCTACTGTACCGTTACAGCACTCCGTCTCTTACATTGCCAGCAGCTATACATGGCTGCCTCCCCCTCCTCCCCCTCCTCCCCCCGACCCGTTTGACCTGCTGCTGAAACTATATGTGTCGTGCAGTCAATACTCGTACCTAAAAAAAGTAAATGTGCTTGAGTAAGTTAAGTTGAACATACTGGCCGTTTAAAAGGGCGTCAACAAAGTCCTGGAAAAGTCTGTATGATTATGGAAAAAACAGGTAACTATTAAAATACATGATATTGTGTGTGGAAGGCAATATTAAGCCGTAAAGGTTTGGAATGGGAGTTTTGTTGTATTGGGTTTGGGTATAAATGCTGCTGTGATACTTACTAAGTACTACTTACTACTAATATAAACATGATGTAACCCCTTTTTAAATGTAAGAAAATATACCATAGATACTTTATTTATCCCGAGGGAAATTCAAGCAAATAATGATACCGAAAGGCACATTTTGATTTATTTTATAGAGGGCAAACTGTACACTATATATTGTCATGCACTGTCTTGTGATCTTACTGATGTGTTTTCACTGCTACAGGAACACGAGGCTCTGACATTTGGGAACGTTGCTGGTACAGTAGACCCCTTGCAGAGGAATGGCCAAAGAGCAGAAACAAAGCAGGGCAGAAACATTTGTACTGGCTGGATCAAATGGTCACAATGGCCAACAATGGCAGACGGGTATGATTAACTTGGTCAGTCACTCTTCAGGCACTAACCACATGTCAAGGATGGCCCGCGTTGCTTCGGATGTGAGGCATAAGTGCGCGGCCTATGTGCTGGCGCTGAGGCCGTGGAGCTTCAGCGCCTCGCTCACACCGGTGGCCCTCGGCAGCGCCTTGGCATACAAACTGGAGGGCTCTGTGGACTTGGTCATCCTGCTGGTTTGCGCGGTGGCCGTCCTCGTGGTCCACGGGGCAGGCAACCTCGTAAACACCTACTATGACTTCTCCAAAGGGATTGACCACAAGAAGAGTGATGACAGGACTCTTGTGGATGAAATCTTGGCGCCGCAGGATGTTGTTATGTTCGGAGCATTGTTATATTCTTTGGGGTGCTTGTGCGCCACTCTGCTCTACTTCCTGTCTACACTTAGACTGGAGCACCTAGCTCTTATTTACTTTGGCGGACTCTCCAGCTCTTTTTTATACACTGGAGGTGAGTGAAATATTAACTTGAACCTCTTGGATTGCTGCCTCATTGTTCGTCTGCCGCCGCACTAAGCAGCCCCACACACACACACACGCACACACACAGACAGATATTTTACATTTAAGCAGGCACTAGGCAACATTGCAAATTAGTCGCTCCAGGTGCCAGCAAAAGGTTGGTGTTGTAAAAATAGGACCTTGTGTATGATGCCAGGAAAGTGCGCACAGCACATTTATGTTTGCCATGGCGGTCAGTCTGTCTGTGTTATTACCAAAGGGCAAAACAAACACTGGTAAGTACATCTTTTCCTGGACAGAGCATTCTGTCTGTTCACCCAAAACAGAACATTTGTCATTTGTGGTATTTAGCCATGCAAATAGTCTAAGTTTTATATTTAC